GGTGTTAACCACACCAGTAGTTCATGCCCTTTCCTAATTTAGGCAATTCGTAGAACTCCGGCCCCCGAAACAGATTTTGCCACAACAACTCCTAAATCTGCCCTGGGAAATGTTGGAGTATGCTTATATGCCTCACTTTTCTGTAATCCATATAAACCTCAGTTTGGAGCTTCAGCAGAACGCTTGCTTCCGCCTAACTCACTCTTCCACTAACTGTCTTCGGGCATTCAAAGTTCAAAATGATTTCTTATTGAATTATAGGCAATTCGTCAAACACCAGCCCCTGACATCGGTGTTGCTACTACTACTCCTGCTTCGGCTTTGGAAAACATTGGTGTACGTTGGCTTGCTTTAATTTCGAAAAATGATGTGAATGATCAAATTTACCTGTCACCTCGTTACAAATTCTTCTCTCCAGGCTATCCAACAACCTAAACCCGTTCATCCACATACAGCAACAACTACGGGAGGAGTAATGAAAGAAAATGTTGCTGTATGTAAACTTTACAATTGTAAAAAGGAATTAATTTTGAACACAATTTTGTCAAGAAAACAGGTTTTTATTTAAGCAAGTCAACTTACCTACTGCTCCTCCGGACAAGCAACAGTTTACGAAGTCAACCGTGCCCATAGACAGGATAGAGGTAAACTTTACCAATCAAACGTACTGAGAGAGTGAATTATAGGAATAATTAATAATTTTATTCAATTCCCCCTTAAAGGACATTGTCGTTCCTAAACGCCCTCCACACACTACCGCAGAAGTTTCACAAACGGTTTCCGATGAAGGATTTGTACGGGTATTTGCAGTGTTCTTACTTGATGTTTTTCTAATCAAATTGACTTTACTGTCATTTGATTCTTAGCATGTCGATCAGGACTTTGCTCCGACGCAGATTGTCACAACAGAAAGGACTGTCGTTGGTGGAGTTGCCCTGGAGGAAGGAGTGAGTTTGATTACATTGAAGATTTAAGTAAAAGAATTAAGATAAACTCTGTGTCAATCTGCGTTCAGAACTTATTTCACCATTGAGTGGTGTCGAGAATTCCATTGATTAATGATCAATGTTAGAAGCTTCTAGTACTCTTTTGTAGACCAAGTGTTGTACTTTACGGCTCGCGGCATAGCCGGAGCAGTTCT